CGGCGGCCAGCTCTCCCGTCGGCGCGCCGGCGTGGCGTCCGTCCCGAAGGGTCGTGTGGAGCCCCGCTGTTGGCGCTCTCCTCAACGGGCTGCCTCCTGCTGGTCCATCTTGTCGGGTCCTCTGGAACTCGCGGAGCTTGACAAGCTTTCCGGGCCCCCCCCCCGCGCCCTCGGAAATTGCGGCCGACGTCTGGTTCGCGACGTTGTGCTCTCCTGCGGGATTTCGCCGAACGAAGCAGTCAACGCGGCTCCCGGCGCCGCCGTCGACGAAACTCTCGGCGCAGCCGTTGAAGAGGCCGTTGGCGCCGCTGTCCGCGATGCCATCGGCGAAGCCGTTGCCCGCGCAATCGGCGATGCTTTCGACGAGGCTGTCGACGAAACTGTTGACGAAATTGTCGCTTCTGTGGACTGCCTGGCCGTCGGCGCCGCCGTCGACGGAGCTGTTGCGAAGCAGAGGGCGAGGCTCTCAGCGGCACCTTCGGCGAAACCGCCGACGACGTTGTAATCGCAGTTGTTGGCGAAGGTGTCTGCGCGGCCGTCGGTGATGTCGACGAAGCTGCCGGCGCAGCCATCGGCGAAATTGTTGACGAAGCCGTCGCCCCAGCCCTGGGAGAAACCCCCGAGGCGAGGATGCAGGCGAGGCCGTTGGTCCAGCTGTCGGCGAAGTTGTCGGCGAAGCCGCCCCCCTCGTGCCGGTTTGACTGCGGTTCTTGCCCGCGGGTCGCGCCGAGGTCTTCCAGCTGCGCCTCTCTCCGCCAGGCTCGCGGGGCCTGGCGCGCGCGCCGCGTCCACGCCGCGCGCGGGGCGGCGCGCCGTCCCCGGAGGCGCGCGCGGCCCCTGCTCGCTTGCAGCGCGGCGGGCCGCCCCTTGGCCGGGGGCCGCCTGCTGCTGGCCTGTCGCGTCGGACCAGCCGGAACTCGCAGAGCTCGGCGACCCTCGCTTCTGCCTCCAGGGGCTGAAGCCGGTCGCCAGGTTCGAGATGCGCCGAGGCTGTCGGTGTCGCCCCCGGCGGACCTGTCCGCGAAGCCATCGGCGCCGTGGTTTGTGAAGCTGTCGGCGAGTCTGTCGGCGAGGCCGTCGACGAGGCACTTCGCGTAGCTTTCGATGATGCCGTCGACGTCGCTATCGGCGGAGCTGCCGACGAGGCCGCGAGGCCCTTCGTGTAGCTTTCGGTGATGTCGTCGACGTCGCTATCGGCGGAGCTGCCGACGAGGCCGCTGGCGAGGCTGTCGTCGAAACTGTCGCAGCGGCTGCCGCTGCCGAAGGCGCAGGCACAGCTGTCGGTGAAACTCTCCACGGAGCTCTGTGGCACAAGTGCCGGCGAAGCCGTCGGCGAAGCTCTGAACTGTTGGCGAGGCCGTCGGCGGAGCTGTCGGCGCAGCTCTCGGCGAAGCTGTCGGCGAAGCTCTCGGCGCAGCTCTCGGAGAAACTCTCGGCGCGGCTGTCGGCGAAGCCTTGGTCGCTGTGGTCTGTGAGGCTGGCGGCGAAGCTCTTGGCGAAGCCTGGCTGTGTGGGGAGCTGCCGCGCTACGGAACGCCACGCGCACGGGGCGCCGCTGGTGTCCGTTGCGGCCCTGAGTCGGAGGCGCAGCAACCCATGTCTCTACTGCAAGGCCGCTGCGAAGTGGGCCCCGCTGTCGGCGGTGCCCGCAGCCATCTCTGATCGCACCCCTCTCCCGCCGCCAGGCGGGGGGCCCTTCGGCGCGCGATGCGCGGGGGGTGCCGTTGGGCTCGAAGACGCACTGCCAAATGCCCAGCATCTATGCGCCCAACCGTAGTTCGAAACGCCCGAGCACCTGAGCCCAAAGGGCAACAGACGTCGGGAGGCAACCGAGGATACACTTATGTGTTAGCACACGGAGGCGGATTAGCCCAAATTCAGCTAGGGGATTAAGCCTATTCGGCTCGAGTGAAAGCCGGGCTTCAGCGGGATCTTGCCGAATCTAGCCGGATTCTGGCCACGGATATGCCGGCGCCAACGCTGACATGTAACCTCACAGGAGTTGCGTCCGAAGACGGGAGGTCGCCAGGAATGGCCGGGATTGTTTCGCGACAAGCAGCTTCGCGACAAGGAAGAGACATATTCACGACTAGCAAACCCACGTTTGCCATCCACTTTCGCCGCCCACTTTCGCCACCCACTTTCGCCGCCCACTTTCGCCGCCCACTTTCGCCGCCCACTTTCGCCACCCACTTTCGCCGCCCACTTTCGCCACCCACTTTCGCCGCCCACTTTCGCTTCCCACTTTCGCCGCCCACTTTCGCCGCCCACTTTCGCCGCCCACTTTCGCCGCCCACTGTCGCTGCCCACTTTCGCCGCCCACGTTCAGCGCCCACTTTCGCCGCCCACTTTCGCCGCCCACTTTCGCCACCCACTTTCGCCGCACACTTTCGCCGCCCACTTTCGCCAACCACTTTCGCCACCCATGTTCGCCGCCCACTTTCGTCGCCCACTTTCGCCACCCACTTTCGCCGGCCACTTTCGCCGCCCACTTTCGCCCCGCACTTTCACCACCCACTTTCGCCGCCCACTTTCGCCACCCAATTTCGCCGCCCACTTTCGCCGCCCACTTTCGCCGCCCACTATCGCCACCCACTTTCGCTACCCACTTTCGCCGCCCACTTTCGCTGCCCACTTTCGCCGCCCACTTTCGCCGCCCACTTTCGCCGCCCACTTTCGCCGCCCGCGTTCGCCGCCCACTTTCGCCGCCCACTTTCGCCGCCCACTTTCGCCGCGCACTTTCGCCACCCACGTTCGTCGCCCGCTTTTGCCGCCCGCTTTCGCCGCCCACTTTCGCCGCCCACTTTCGCCGCCCACTTTCGCCGCCCACTTTCGCCGCCCACTTTCGCCGCCCACTTTCGCCGCCCACTTTCGCCGCCCACTTTCGCCGCCCACTTTCGCCGCCCACTTTCGCCGCCCACTTTCGCCGCCCACAATCGCCGCCCACTTTCGCCGCCCACTTTCGCCGCCCACTTTCGCCGCCCACTTTCGCCGCCCACTCTCCCCACCCACTTTCGCCGCCCACTTTCGCCACCCACTTTCGCAGCTCACGTTCGCCGCCCACGTTCGCCGCCCACGTTCGCCGCCCACGTTCGCCACCCACTTTCGCCGCCCACTTTCTCCGCCCACTTTCGCCGCCCACTTTCGCCGCCCACTTTCGCCGCCCACTTTCGCCGCCCACTTTCGCCGCCC